ACAGGGTTCAGCAAGTTTGTGGAAAACTGCCTGCTACCAGAAGCAGTCCAAGAAAGCCACCCTGTGCCTCCAGCATGGAATTCGGGGCTTTCCCCTAAGAACAGTACATGCGCTGGGAGTAGAAACGCATCGTGGTAAAATCTGCCATAGCAATTCGTGTTCTACTGAAAGACTATAAATAGAATCACTGAGAGGAGTTCCACAAATTATGAAAAAGAGATGTTCTTGTGGGGATTGCTCTGTAATCAGTGTATAAGTTATTTATTATTTTTAAAGTAAAGTAAGGATGTCTATTCATTTTTTCAAGCTCAACTGCTGTTGCACAGATCTGAAAAATAATCTTAAAGAATGCAATAGAAATACTGAATTTTTCTGTATGTTCAAAGTTTGTTAACAAGCAGAGGAATGAATCCTGCTTGATTAATTATCACGGAGTGTTATCTTGCAGAAGGATTTCACCTTCCTGGTTTTCTCCCTTAAAAACACTAAATGCTTCTGAAATTATTTGGTATATGTTCACATGTAAAGCCTAAACTCATGCAAGCCCTGTCATCTTTTTCTGTTAATAGTGACTTAGTGTTAATTAAACTACAACATATCTAAAACATAAGAAGAATGTTACTATATAAAAAAGCAGATTATATCAGTCATTAAAGTCTCACTGCTTATTAAGTAAGCTTATGAGCAGACAGGAATGAAAATTAGCCTACTGGCAAATATCAAACCACATCTGTATTTAATGTTATGTGTACCGACTCAAGCCTTTGCTGAGGGGACCTCTGTATATTTTACTGTGTATCAGTCAAACCGTTTGGCACAACTAGTTAATGCTGTAGCTGCCAGTCTACCACAGAGTTGCATTTCTGACGAAGAAAAGCTATTTCTGTAAAGGTAGGAGAGCTAATCCTAAATGAAAGCTGTACACAGTTGTTCATTTACTGCAAAACACACAAGAATGAGAACCAATACTGACACTGTCAGGTGTCTGCTTGCAGAAAAATTAAGTGCTAAATCACACCGTACTTCACTTTCTGTGCTGCATTTTAATGAGAGATTAAAGTCTTACAATCGCTCCTCCTTTTATGGGACACATGCTCAAATAACAGCTATAGGACATTTTACTATTAGGCTCAAATCCCTTCCCTCCCAACCCAAGTAAACTGGAGCTGTAGCTAATATGAGTAAAAACAAGGCTTCCATGTTTTCAGTTGAATTAAGTTCCAGTATAATCATCCTCTGAGATTTAAAGCATACTTGAAATCATATGCCAATAACTGTTTACCCTGAAAGGTCTTGCCAAGTTTTTTATGTTATAATAAAGTGTACATACATATAAAAAATTACAGTTCTCATCTTCATTTAGTTTGTCCAATTTTTACATTATCATTCAACTGTATGCTCATTTATAGGTTGAGGCAGGTATAAAAGCTGCTGATCATGTTCTATTTCTTATTTGCAATTCTTCGTTTCCTTGTTGCCAGCATATCATAAAAGGGACCCCTGCTAATACTTGCTCTAGAAGAGAAAAAAAGGGAATCATTAGTTTGGTTAACAGATACCTGTTTTTGAAAACTAAACCTATTTTGCTCTCTTCCCTGTGCATGACTCCACACTCTTAATGAGATCATAGACCACTGAATTCTAAGCATCACGAATATTTCTTTAGAAAAAGATATTACTCAGCTGTCATTTGCTAAGAGTTTGTACCTTCATCTTGACTATTTCTTATTTCTTTAGGTGTGGGTCTGCTTTACAAACCTTCCAGATAAAGTCAAGCTGTGAAAGTTTAAAGCTGCACTGTGAACATGTTTAAGATAAATGTCACTGAAGTTAATTATCAGGTGAAGTAAGAACCTAATAAAATTAGGGTTAAAGACACAAGGCTTTTATAGTTGCTTAAAAAGTAGTAAATCCATATTTTCCTGGTCTGAGTTAGCAGCACTATTTCTTGAGGACCAGTCAGTAACAGGACACTTGTTTCTTGATCCATCAACCCCACAGTTTGCCTTTAATCCTTGAGCATATTGTCACAGCAGAATTCTTCAAACAAGTTAGAATACAAATTCTCTTAGTATCTTACTCCAAAAAGAACTTACACTTCATTTCTGAAAGACATTTGAGACTCTAAACTCACTTGATAGATTTAATCCACTCTTCCTTTTCCTCTGGGGTGGGAGCAGATATTCTGTACACTACATGGTTGCCTTCCACCACTCTACCATCAGCTTCAGTTTTACACGCTTTAATTACCTGACCTTTATGACTAGGGTTGTAGAGCTCAAAGCAGTTCTGGAGGGTAGAAATGGAAGAAATCAATTTACAAACTAAAACAAAACTGACAAACATCCTCATTTAACACTGATTTCTATGAGGTTTAGTTCTTAAAAGAAAAAGAAAAAATAAGAGGAGAGAGGAGAAGAGAGGAGAAGGGAGGGGAGATGAGATCTCACTGGTTTTCTAGGGTCTTCAACTTCTCTTATGCTAAGATTTTCTAATGGAATAATTCCTCTTGGTTCTTTGTCCTAAAGAAAAAAAGACAATGGCATGTTATTAGCCACTTAAATATCTTTACTACAAACAAAATTCACTGTAATATATACTCACTGTTGTGTATTCAAAGTAATACAGGCAATTATCAGTCAGAATAAACCATCTCCGTTTCCACGTTTTTACTCTTCCCCCTACAATCAAAGGTATGGTTGAATTAACCTGTGTCACCATCAAGACTTCAACAATGGGTAAGAGTGATTTAGTTTTTTGCTTGGTTTTCAAAATGTAGCTTGATTACTTCATCCTAAATGGATCAGGCACAGATGAGCTGAGGTTAGAAGAACATGTTACCGTTAACTCTTATGCTAAGATCAAACGCCCAAGGCAGCATTAACTATGGTGTTGCTGACCAGCCACAAAAGCTGGATGCTCTAAAGTTGCAAATGTCTCCTCTCTTACAGGGGATGAATGCAACAGTTCAGCAGTCAGGCCCACTCCCTCTGTCCACGCCATCATGCGTTTACTGCATCGAAAACATTAATACTATAGAGCCCCCAGAAATGCATTCAGTGCTGCTACAGCAAAGGGAGGCAAATCACCAGTATCTGGTTTAAGCTGGCAAGCAGCTAAACACATCACTGGCACGCTTGCTCCAGGACCAGTTGTGTAACTACCTAGTTGCAAAACCAGTAACTGGTTTCCAGCAGCAGGACCAACCCTATCCACAGCACATATTGTACAAGAAAAGAGTCCCATCAGTAAAGTCAAGGGCATTTTATCACCTTCCTTTAACTTGGGAGCATACATGTGGTCAAGAAACTATCTCTACTTTCAAATTTAACATCAAGTGCAGAAGATGCTTATAAATATTACTAGCAGAACAAATATGTGCCATGAATAAAGAGCAAATCTTATGCCAAAATGTACCAAGTTTAGTCACCTGCCGTAATTTACTATTTTAAAAGCATGTTCTCCTTATGGGTTAATATATCACTGAGTTCACCTGATGGAATAAATAGCTACTGTTCAAAAAAATGCAATTTTTCCTGCATTAACAGGGTAGAAACAATGACCATAGAGCTCCTCTTTCCTACACCCACTAATGTCACATTGTTAGGAACAGTTCCTTTTAGAAACAGACATTACTGTCTTGGAGTTTTCACAGCTGGTTTTCTGCCATTGACTACTTCAGAACATGTCTAGCAGTCCACAAGCATGTTATTTTTCAAACTCATTTCCAGGAAAGACAACTGCAGATAAAGCATTCACGTGTTCTTAACATCCGAGATTAGCTCCACCATAGTTATCTGACTTCAGGATTATGTCACCACCTGTGCATCATCCATTCAGCAGTGATTTAATCTCATTAATCCAACATTTCAAAACAGTTGATCTTGCTGTTGAATAACACACATAAAGGAGTACCATTAATACACACAACACCCCACCCCATTCAGTCCAAGTCATATAACTAAATCTAAGACATAATTCTGTAATCTTTTTGTTCTACTTGAGATAGCTGGGATTTTTCTTAATACAGAAATCCAAGTAATATTAAATTAAAGAACAACTCTAGGAATCTCATGAAATTTCTTGATACCAGGGTACTACATGTTTGCATTGCAGACCAAGTATGTTGCACATTGTATCTTCCTTTTGCTTGGTTTCATGACCTACACAATTACCCCAGTGCTAACACACTGCAATGCTCAACATACTCAATAAACTTTTATGTTTCTACTACATATACACACACACACGTTTTAAGAAAAATTTAATCTGCAAGCAGGTGTGGTGAAATAAGAGAAGGCAAAATAGTGCAAGATGCAGAAGCCGTGACAGAATGAATGGTTGAGTGAACTGGAGACAGTGAGGGAAGAACTGGTGGCATTTCAGTGTAACCACTGTGACAGATCCTTAAGTAAAGCACTGTAGAAACATTCAAACTGGCACGTAAGTCACTAGAAAATTCCCATCACCTTGACTGAGAGCTGGTTCAAGTATCAGGAAGTACTTCAGCTTGACTCACTTCCAGATCAATGAATAAGCAGCAGCTGAGTCAAGGTGACTGCCAAGGCAGTCCTTGCTATCACAATAACATGCCATCTTTTCATACAACCCAGTGTTCATTGCCAGGACTTCTAAGTCACGTTCTGCTCTCTAAGGTTAACATTGTTTAACAATTTTAGGGCACAAACTCATCAGGGTAACAAGCAACATGAGCTTGCATCAAATGTCATGGCTTGCCTAGTTCTAGTAGGAAAAACAATTCAGCAGGGGAGAAGATGAAACAAACAGGCAAATAGGTAACTATCACAGAGGCAGCTTAAATTGAGCAAAGGTTTTCCTCAAACTTTTCCCATATCAAAACACTATAAAAAAATAAGCAGGTAATAACCATATAGTTAAAAAGAAGACCTGCTAATAATTTGAAGCAGGAACAATGGACTTACACACGTCCTAGAACAATATGAAATGCCAAGTAGTAAATTACAGTTGAGTTTGCTGAAGTTTTTCCTGACAACACCTCCCTGCCCCTTGGGAAAAGCCGTATTTCTCAAGCCTGAAACCTTTGTAAAATCATGCTGAAGCATTGATGAAGCTTTTGTCATGAAACATTTCCCAGCTCCAAGGTAGTACTGATGTTGAAGTCAGAGAGAAGATCAAGTATTTCCAAAGGCATCCCTCTTCCTGCTCCTTTCTCCATAAAAGAGCCAGGAAGTAGCTCATGGGGTTACAACACTCACGTGAGTTGCGGAAATAGATCTTAAGCCTCTGCTCCACTAAACTCCCTGTTACTTTTCCAGGAAAAAAAGCAGCAAGGCAGGAGTTTCTGGCAGGATAAGAAACCATTCTCACATGTAAGTCTCTGTGTCCCCACTCCACTGCTTTGCTGCAGCTGTCAGCAGCACAGAAATGCTAATAAAGCTTGAAAGGCAATCTAATCTGTACTCACCAAGTTTGCAGGGGTCACCATATAACAAGCATTTAATATGCCTTTACAATGGGCTGAAACCCAAGAAGCTGGTTGATAAGGCTTTGTGGCCCATAAACACCGCAGGCAAGATTAATGGGTAAGAACACGTGATAACAAAACATTCTTTTCTTTGGCCAAGATTGCTGTAGGCTCACAAAACAACAAAGGGTTTAGTACCATACTTCGTATCTTATTCCAGCTTCCAGCCTTTTAAAGATTAAAACTGGAAGGAATTAAGTTAGCAGAAGAGGATCAAAAAAATCAAAGTATGAATCCATAAACATTTATAGTAATGGAGAGATATAAGTGATGTACTTCAGAAAGATCTAGTTGGTTAATTAAAATGCAAAGACTTCTAAAGAAAATAAAGCAGCATTATATCTTCTAGATGGAGATCTAAGGAAACCACAAGAAAAGGCCATAACAAGGCACAAGGTACAGAAAGAGGAACAGAAACTCTCTTAACCTACATAACCCAACATAGGATTTTTTTCCCCCAGCTGTGGGCAAAGTACAAACTAGAAAACATAGGTAAAAGAAGCCTATAATTAAGGGGAAAAACAACTGTCAGTAACTCAGGAAACACTCATTTAAACATTAAAAATGGTCTTAGGACTAAAGGCAGCAACATGTCTTGAAGTTAGAAAATTCTACCCAAATCTTCAGCACCTTTATATGAAGTTTTAAAGGAGAAAGAGATGCACCATCAAGACTGATTTTTCTTCTCATTAAGAATGCTTATTTCTCATGTTGATACAACTAGGCAGAATGGACTCACAAACCGTACAGTTATACAAGCGATTTGCATCAAAGCTTGGATTTCTTTGAAAAAGAAGTTTCCCTCGACCACATCATTGACTGCCTCAACCTAGAAGAGCATCGGTTACTAGAACAAGGCAAGTACCAGAAGGCACCAGTTTCCTGATTAACCACCACTATTCTGTTACCCCAGATCAGGGAAGAGAGAGAAGGCAACCTCTCAAGGCCCATCCCTGGCAGGATGGGCCCAGATTTGGAGCTTTTGAACCATCTCCAAGTTCTCAGTAACTGCCTGACAAGCAGAAGAAAAGAATGCGATCATGTGTCTAGCTTGAATCATTTCCTCTCCAGTTTGGTGGAATAATGTCATAGTTTCCCTCAAACTAGATGAAAATATTACATAAACCAAGCTGTTTGCCAGGAGAGGCTGTTTTAGGCAAGGAAATGCCTCCTTGCGCAAAACAACTGTAACTTGGACACTGAGACAGAGCACAGACTACGGCTTCAAAATACCTTGAAGTGGATGGTAGAGAACTTCATGGTGCCAACACCACTAGTAATTATGATGCAGAAAAATCAAAAAGCTCACAATGTCTCAAGCTGCCCTAAGCAAGGATTCATGAGCACTCAGCAGCTTTCAGTTTTTTACCTGTAGCATTCATTCTCATTACACCATGCTTCAGACGATGTAGAACTGAATGATAATTTAGGTTTACCACGATAAAGATGTCTATATAAAGGAACCAGCTGAATCTACACAGATAAAACCAGAACTGCTGTATGGCTGCCAGGTTTAGGCAAGACTTACACAAAGTCACCTCTGACCAATTCAGAGCAGCAAACTCTCCAAAATCATTTTGCACCCTCTCAGCTTTCTAAAACCCAGTGCCAGCCTGGAAAGCTAGGGAGATCTTTAGGATAGTTGAATCTTATAGTACATGGAAGTTTCATGATATCCATCTCCTGCTCAGAGAATAATCAATATGGGGAGCTGCAATACTAAGGAGAGGGGCACAAGTAGATAAATGGGAAGAGTTGACTATAAGAAATACCAAATGCAAAGTACTGTAATAATATACTCAAGGATTCCAAGATGTCTTAGTCATATTTGTAGTTTTAGATGAACTTTCTGTTTCAACCCTTTAAGTATTGTAACAGCTAAGGACTTAAAACTCTCACACAGCAGTAGAGTCTCCTTTGCATTTCAACAATACTGAAACTTTCCATATTGCCATTTTCCAGAACTGAAGGAAACACTACTCACTTCACAAGAAGTGTTTCCTAACAGAAAGGACTGTAAAAATGCAAACGATGTGGATTGAGACAGCACTCTTGACATACAGTTTAAGCCTCCTAGCAAATAGGAAACCCAAGGGAAAGAAAGGAAGAAAAGAAAGAAGAAAAAAGAGAAGAAAGACGAAAGGAAAGAACAGAAAAAGAAAAAAGAAAATAACAGAAAGAAAGAAAATGAAAAAAAGAAAGATTGCTAGGCTTATTTCTGGTCAGTGAACCTACACTCGTAAAATGTATTTGTCTGTCCCAGCCTGTGTGAGCTGAAAAAAATGCAGTCTTTCACGGAAGCACAGCTTCACGCACTTACAGACTGATTCACCAGAGGTTTGTGGATATGTTTCTTTATTCAAATAACCCTCATGTCATGGGAGTGTTATGTGCCACACCCTGCTGTTCCACACATGCTTTTACTATTGGGTTTTCTGTATGCTATCTCATCTACCCTGTACATAATAAAAAGCTGGTTTTATTGACCCTGTCCCAGAGCCAGAGATGGATTGTGGAGAAGTAGCTGCAGCTCTCGCTGACTTTCAGTCACTATTTATTTTAATTTATTTGTTCCTCTTTTTTTATTAGATCTCTTATTGATCTTTATTAGAATTTTTATTGACAGCTTCTTCCGAAACTGTCATTCCTCTACACACACTCTCACTCTTGCTTGTGCTCTCAGTATGTGTATATGGAAGGGCACTAGCAATAGAAATACGCACAGCATGGGCTTATACCCAGCCTCTTCTCCAGAAAGCACATTATCTACATAATTTTGAAAGCCTTTGCTGGTGAGATAGATGTCATCTTGTGCTATAAAATGGAGAAAATCTGAAAAGTCATCTTTGAAATTGTGCCAGCTGAGTCAACACATGTCAAAAAGCAAGAGCTTTGCTTTTCTGTAGTTAGAAAGACAAAGACCTCTATAACATCTGTAGTGCAGAGGCCAAAATAAGAAGACATCAGAGAGCACGTGAATGAATGCCAAATGCTTCCTTTTCACATCTATTTCCTTCCAGCACTAGCATGACCACCAGCTTTCAGGTGCAACCAATAGAGTGGACCCATGGCTCTACCTGGGCTCTACTTTCACCATACTCACCCCACATGCACCACACAGCACATCCCTTTTCACACTTTAGTCATCGTTCTCCGAGTGCAAAGTTCCTTCTGCTTTAACAAGCAGTTACACGTTAAAATGGCCAACAAGTGGCTCTACTGGAGTGTGTATGGGTGTTTTTATAAAATGAGGCTTATTTCATTGAAAAACAAATGTGAAAACAAAATTTCAGTCTCCTTTATAAATGAAAAAAAATTCCCTAAGCCCAAGTGAGAACATGAATCCCATCAATTCTAAAAAAAGTCTGTGAACAAAGGCATCTTGCAGTGCCAGGAGACTGCAAATCACCAGAGGTTTCCACGACCCTAAATTTGGTGCTCATTCAAGATGAGCTGTTAAGTAAGCTAAAGACTGTATTTATAAAGAAAAATAAAAAAAGCAAAGTAACAGTTTTTATAAATGCATAGTTCAAAGGTAATCAATCTTTCAATAATCCAATTGACATACAAGGAACAAAATCACCCTGGAACTTCATTACAAGAGTAAGATGTTGTTTTGCCTTGGTAGAAATCATTCTTTCCCTCTTATGTTATTCACTGAACAAGAAAAGAACAAGAATAGTCATCTTTATTTTTCTCCTTTACATGTAAGCGCTTTCTTCTTTTCCAGAACACACTTGCATGTAAGCCAGACACTGACATGCCAGTCAGAGTACCCCTGATGATAACTGTTAGTGACACTGAGCGAAAAAGTAAAATGCTACTATAAATCTGATTAAAAAAAAAAAAAAGAAAAAAGAAAAAAAGAAGAAAAGAAAACAGGAGGAAGGAGGAGGAAAATAAAAGAATGAGCAACTGAAAAGGATGGGACTGGAAAGCAATCAGATACGTACCTCCTAATGCAGAATAAGCAGAGACAGCCAGTCACAGAACAGAAAGGTGATAGGTCATAGGCCATAAGGAAAACAAGAAGGCACATTTAAACCACTCATTAAAAAAATCATAGCCAAAACCAAACCAAGAGAAACTCACAAATAATATGGAAAAATAAAGACATACAAAAATAACTGTTTGAAGATAAATCCTTTTTTGTACACAGAAAACTGAGTTGAAATATCACAGTTTTCTGAAATGACCTTACAGAGACTTAGTTGCTATTTATCAGTCACAGCATGTGGTAAATACTATACAGCATTTCCCTTTTATCACTGAGTTTTACTTCTCATATATCAGAAATAGAACTTCAAACTTTGATCAATTTGGATATGTAAAATAAGAAGTAACAACATTCAGATGTAAAGGGGTTACTTATCTTGGTTCAGCCATTTTTAAATACAAATTACAAAGTTCATCCTATTACCTTCACAAGAAAGAAAATAGACAAAAAGCAGCAAACATGCTAACAATGAACAAACACGTCGCAGCAAAACTGCCCTTATAACTAACCTAATTTCAGCAGCCAGCCTTCTCTATCTGGATTGAAAAATGTATGCGTTAGATCATTTCCATCATCCTCTGGGATCTTAAATGGCTCATTCTTTATACTTTCATACAAATTCTAGAAGAATAAAAAAAAAAAAAAGAGGAAAAAAACGTCATTAACAAGTGTCTAACAGCAAATGCAACCAGGACATCTTACTGCTTCTCAGACTTTATGAAAAGCATAGTAAACAATATCCATAACATTCTGGACCATCCCTTCTCAATCTCTGTTTACTACTTCGATTAAGTTTGATTTTAAATGATTCCATCTATAAACAAGTATCTCTTTTTACAGATTTTGTAAGCACTCTTTGCAAAGACATCTTTAATTTAACTTCAGCATTCAGTATTTCAGAGGCTTCAGCTCTCATTTAGTACAAGTTTTGCCAACTGAATCTGGATTTTCAGAAAATGGTTTAGACCACCACAGCGTCTTAGAGAAATAAGTATTTTTATTAATATCTCAAGGGACAGGAGGAAGCTCCACAAGACACATGGGGAGGCAATGATAAAACAATGATTTTTACTATTTTTTCCAGCTTTTTCTGACTTATGCAAATACTTTTTCCTTTTTTTTTTTTCCATAAGGATCCAATTCCATAAGAATTTTGCCATCAGCAAACTACTGAGAGATATACAGTGTTTTCCCTGGAATCTCCTCTCTTCAACAGAAGACTGAACACAGAACTAGCTCAAGAAAATGCTCCTTTCAGCTATTCAAATGGTTATGCATGCTAAAAAATGCTCTTCTTACTTTCCCTTAACAAATTTGCCTGAGAATTTTTGCACATGCTTCTAAGTTTCCTATTAAAAACACAAAACTATGTCTTGTCTTACCCAGTCGAACTTACCCGTAGTAATTCTTCTGGAAGGTCTCCACCTTCATTAATTCCACGATTCATAGAAATAAACCTCTCTACGGTTGGTTTATCTCTTACATTGTGGTTGTGCAGACTGGTATTCAGCATAATGATCGCAAATGAAAGCACGTAGCATGTATCTGAAATAAAATTTGAAGGAGTTATTTTTCTATGTGTTGAAGTGCAAACCTGTGAAATGAATATATAAGCTCACCCTGACTAATAAAGACAAAGGTAGTAAAAAACTCTTGAACATGAAAAACTATACATAGAAGCAAAGTCTCAAATCTTTCTTTAAACTGCTGAAGCCTAAAAAGAAGAAAAATATGGAACCATTCAACTTTAAAGCCAGTAAGTGAAAAACAGTACAAGAGAATAAAAAAAAAAAAAACCAAACCAACAAAACCCCCTCTTTGAAAGCATTGCTATCAACCCAAATTAACATTTTACTTGAAACACTTACGTGCTGTTGTGCAAAACATTTGCTGCACAATTTCTTGGCATGCACGATGACAACAAAGATCTTATCATGCCTCTTGACACAGTTATGATTATAGTAAATTCTCCCAGAATTCAAGTACAAGGTCTGTTTTAAGAAAAAGCAGGATGGAAATCTCTCTGCTACATAGAGGAAAAATGTGTTTACATCTTCAGCATGTTGTTTTCAATATGTATTTTCCTCTGTAGCTGTTGCAGACCTGCTTTATGTCAACCCCTTCCTAGCCTGTATGCTCCTCAAACTAAGTGATCAACAGCGAGCTATGATCATATATAACTAAACAGACCAACAGTGCCAGAAAGCTAGGGTGTTCTGTGCAGTATTTCAAAGTTCTATTAGCTTTCATGCTTTAATTGGCTTAGATATATATATTAATGTTGAAGTTTTATAAATGGAACTGCATTCTGGCCATAAACCTGCACCTCCTGAAAACAAAGTGTAGAAATAGACAGTTGCATTTCCTCAATTCTGAGAAATTTCTCATTTCACACATTATTTTATCCTAAACTTCCAAACTAGACATCATCTCCTTGCATCAGATGCAGAAGAACATATATGATTAAAAATTACAATACATATACACACACTCAAGAACTCATATTATGTCCTGTGACTCACCTGTAGACTGGAAGACTCCTGGATTACAAAGGCAGTAGCGTGAAGCAAAAGCTTCCATCATACGGTCAATTTTTTGAGCCTCTCCTGGGAGTCTGAAGCTCCACAGAAACTGTCTACAGAAGGGAAGAATAGTCTTTAGACTCACTCCAAGATTTATATACTCAGCATATATGACCAATAATCAGAAACTAAAAAAAAAAAAAAAAAACCGAACCAGAAAACAACCACAAAACCAACCAAACAGCAATGTCTCTATAAAACGTCCTAGAAGTATGTTCTCAATCTCTCAACACACAAGTCAGGAGCTATTATAAAGCAACATGCACAGATGGCTAGCCCAGTAGTTCAGCCAGCAACACTGCATGCTATCAGGCAAGATAATATAGCAGTTCATATTCTGAGACCCTTTTTTTCCAGACTAGTAAACGATTTTCTGTATGCATCCCATTTTTGCTGTAAGGCTGCTATGGGGAAACAATCAGATCAATCCTTTCTGTGTTTCCTGGCTAGTAAAAGCAATACACACTCAGCTAGACTTTACTTACAATGTAAAAAGACACATTACAGAAAATATTTCTGGTAGGGAAGAGAAGCAAGGAATATAAAAACCACTTAACATCTTTACTTGAACTCATCAAGAACATTTTAAAAATAGTAACAAGAAAACCCCCAATGCTTAGAGAGATGCTGCCTGTCTAGTGTAAGCTCATCCTGCAAGAACTAGAACTAGATCTTAAAAAGAAAGATTCATGATATCATCTCAGTAATTTTGCAATATACACAGGAGATCTGTGCTCCTGTTTGGCAGCATGAACTGGAATACAGTTTTTACTTTCATAACTTACTATTTCTACTTATAGGTACACTGGAATGCATACAGGACAGAAGTCTTCACAAATTTACTTTTGGCACACTGTGGCGCTAAAAAGCTCCAATGAATCTAACATTTTTTTAATTTCTTAGCAAATTATCTAAATTAAAACAGGGTCTAAACCAACAAAGTTACATGCTCTGCCATGCAAAACAAGTTCTTGATATTCCCTGTACCCTGGGTGCCAATATAGTAACCATTTATTCCTGTCTTCATCAGTTTTCATTTCAGGACATTAAAGTGTCACAGGCCATCTTTAATTTCTCATCTCTATATACTGTCTTTTACTCACCTCATGCAAGGTTCCAACCCAGATCACGAATTTTGTAAGCTACCAAAATACAAACATTTAATAGTAGCAGCTGCTAAGAAGAATGAAGTTAAACCTAACATTAAATTGGGAAAAAGATAGAAACATGAAGCCTCCCAGAAAAGCTTCAGATGACAGAGAAAAGGCTTCCTTAGCTCCAGCCTCAGGCAGCACAAGTTACCAACACTCAACCATAGCAAAGCTGTTCTGACTCCACATCACAAGACTGCACCAGAGACAAAGATCACGTGGACATTTCAATTTATCTGGTGTCAGGATGGTGTCACTAGTGAAAATGAAATTGGCAGAACTATCTAAAATCAACTTAAGTTAGACCTATAATGGATTTCCACTAAGACAAGGGACTTCACAAGGTCACTGCATGCTAGGATCCCAGAGAAGTCAAGTAAACTGTTCACTTAGCAAGGGAAAAAAGTATACTAAAATATTATACTTTCATTCGCATGACAAGTGGGAAACTCTGAGGGAAGTAGAAATAACTTGGTTCAAAGTTTACCTTTTTGAAATTGAACATAATCACAGATTATGGTCAACAGAATTCCACCCCTTCCTTGCCCAGAGGAACAAACTGAGGTGGAATTAAAGAAGAAAGAAGAGGGCAGCAAAGAAAATTATTTGTTTGGGTTAGGAGTTTGTTTTTTACCTATCTCAATGCTAAGATACGAAGCAGATCCTCAAATGCCCACATACAGCAGGCACACCAAAAAGTTATTTGTATGTGTTTAGTTGTTTGTATTGGACTGAAATAACGACGAAGTTTTCACCTTCAAAGGCAGCACACACACAAGCAATTGGAAGGGTTAAAAAAGAGCTGTCTCTGCTAACATCCACAGTAATGCATATAATTGTGCCAAGCTGTAGATCAACTTTCTGATGAATAAATCTACACAGGGACTAATATGAACGTGCAGTTCAAGAAAGCAAGCTCAGGTCAAAAGAAAGAATTTACTCACCTTAAGGCTTGTACAAGATTGAGATCAGCAAACTCATGGAGTTCAACAAAAGCCTGAAGAACTTTAATATTAAATTCATCTCTATGAAAGACAAAAATGCAAATAGACGATTACGATTCTGAACTTTAAAGAATTCCTAGTTATCTCTATTTGCTTCCAAGAATAAGCAAGGAAATAAATGATCATACTGACCAAATCAAGTCATCAGAAATAGTTTACAAATTTGAGAGGCATTCTGCCCATTATTGCTAGGGAGGTTAGCAAGAGCCAGCACACTTAAACCAATTTTAGCACCGCTTATTTAAGTGACTCAAAATGGCCTGGCCTTTCTGGCTTCCCATTTATTATTACTGCACCTGCTTTGATACGGGATGACACCAAATAAATTTATCCAGTAAAATGTCTTTTGCATAAATTGTGTCATGAACTCTTAAAACCAGTAGTCAATGCAAGATTAATTTCTTTAGCCATTCAACACATGAAAACCAAACTATCCTGTTTCTTCCTCTAAGAACAGAAAATACTAAAGCAATATATTAATTTATGTACAAAGATGAGTACTTTGCGTACTGATTGTACCTAAGAAAAAGAACAGCTTTTTAAAAGAACTACTTAGTATGTACTATATTCTTACTCCATTCTCAAAAATTGTTACAATTGAAGTTTATTAGAGTCAGAATAGGGTTTGCAGGCTTCTAACCTAGCTTTTATATTGCTATGTAAATCATGAGCCAAATTTCACTTTGATACAAAGATGTTGAAATGAAAAAGTAACTTTTAAACATTAATGAACCCAAAACTGTTTGGATGCAGACAGTATTTAGCCTATGCCATCACTCAGTTCATATGCCAGAAGCATAAAGGTTTATAATCCTCAGGGTGTGCTTTAAATACATCACCAAGACAGAATGCTGCATATCAGCATCCACCCAAAATTAGAAAGGTGTGCACCCACCAGAACTTGTGTTGCATTTCTGACTAACTGCATAGCCAAACTGCTCGGTAACACTCACAAGTAAGTACCTTAACACGAATTATTCATTGAGATGTCCCCATTTTGTAAACAGAAAAACACATCCCCTCTGTCAAGCAAAATGAGGCAATTCTCAAGAGATTTAGTAATGCACTTTCAAGTGCATTTAAAGTTCAACTTCACTAGTTTTCAGTGCAGTAAAGTGTTATAACAGTATAATGAAAGAAAACATTCAATGGGGGTACTTTGTTACTTTGAGCCAAATCTTGACTTTGCTTATGTGTATGGAAAGCTGCAGTAATTCAGAACAAATATTAGCCTTATACTCTAAATTTTGCTCTTCTAGGTTTTAACATAAACTAGATTAATAGTGATACTTGTGCTGGGTACAGCTCCAAAGACACAAGCCAAATATGAAAGGTCTAGGAAGCCACTTAATAAATGAAGGCTTACAAACATACAAAGAACTCTCTAATCTTTTATAGGATGCAATTAATCCCCTATTTATTGTACATTTTTAGGTATTATCCCATTCCATTTCACCATTCACTTTTTTTCAGGTTGCTCAGTGCCATAACACAAGTCAGTAATTTAAAATATCTATCTTTATGGCAGAATGTTAAACAAATATTTCATTCTGTTGACTATCTTGGTGTTGTCTTCGGCTATATTTAGCTAGAATGCAGAAATAATTCATGATGAGCCCCCAAGAGGGAATGGCAAAGTAAAAGAGAATGTCCTCAGACTCCAAGTGCCTTGATAAAAAAAATAGAAAGTAACTCAGCAAAAACTCATCAATAATATGCACTGCCATTTGTATAGCATAAATCACTTAATAGCCCATTTCTGAAGTAGTCACAAAAGCAAAACTAGCAGCTTAACACCACCTCAGTTGTCACATTCTGTTTTATTCTAGGGTATTTATCTTATCTCAGGACCTAAAGGTCTATTGCGTTCTTTTCAGAGGAACATAAATAAAAATTACTAGGATGCTAGCAAATTAATGTTGCAGTTCAAAGGATTATCATGAACCAAATCCCCATTCTAGACCTGACTACCTTGAAATTTCTATACACATTCCTGAAAATCAGACTGTCATCACTTCACCTCCAGCCCCCCTTCCTAAGTCACATAAGTGAAGAATAAAGAAAAATACCCTTTGCTTTCCCATTACCATATTAATATTACACCCTTCACAGAAATGAAGAAACATGAAAAAAAAAACCCAAACAATTAAGACTGGACAGATTGAATAAAAGCTTACTATAAAGCAAAAATAAAAATAAAAATAAAAAATAAATAAAATTAATTTTACTTCAACTGTTCCTTAAAGTGGATAGGCTGCTTCTGCCTTGTGGCAAAACAGCAGCAGTAGATTAATTTTATTATCCAGCTGATTCATACAAAATTCCCTGATCAAATCCACTACATTTCTATTTAAGCCTTGAAAAATCTAGAAGATATAACTGAACTGCATATTAATCTGTATATATACTCAATATTAAGAAATACTGCATTTTCAGATTAGACCACAGTGCTGCTCAACAGCATCCCTGCCCAGGGATGCAGAAGAACGAGCAGTATTTTTTTTAATTTTCAATGTGAACCCGTGAATAGTCACAAAAATACCACTGATCACTCCAGTGGGCTTGGACATAGTGGTAAAACCTTTCTGCTTAGTACAGGGGTTCTGGGAGTAAGGCCAGAAAAATTGGAAGCATTTCAGACAACAATACTAAGATAGAGTACACCTCTCAAAACCAAACACAGACTCCTTTATACAAGCTTTGTTACAGTTTTGCAATTATGGACATTAACATGTAAGTGATTTTATAATACTGATAGTCCAAATATTCAAGAGAAACAACATACTGCTGTTGTATAAAAATTATTGAAATGTCTACACGTACTATATAGAAACTTCATAGCCAAGATCTATTTTCAAAATCTACATATTACAGTAAAAACTTTCATTGACACCATCAAAGTAAGGAGGAAACTGCTGAGCACAAGCTAAGCTGTTGATGCTGTTAACAACATTACAGGTGCCTCAAAAGGGATCTGCCGGAACATACCAGTCCAGAAGTATATACCAAATGAGTCAACTTTTAAATCTCTGTAACTGGTATCTGACCTGGAACATGTGCAAACATATAGACACACATACTGCAACCCACTCTTCACTTCTGTCTCTTTCTGCTACCTTTTTCAAAATCAATTCCTCAGTTGCACAGCAATGGGAGTAATTTGCATTTTGACTCTGTTTTGCAACAGCGTCCATAAATATGCATGTTGCATGTTTATTGTACTAGGATTGACAAGGATACGGTGTGGCTGCCATTTGTGATGCCTCCTTACTAATGGGAAGTCTGTGTGCACAGAAGATGACAACACTAAAGCCTGCATATAACTGCTGTCCCAATTATTAGTAATTGTAAATCACTCCTTGTCTGGCACAGCATCAAGAGTTACCGGAACTGTTGCAGCTCTCATTCCAAAAGCTTATGGTATTAAATTCTGCACTACAGCCAAATTTAAGGGTATTTTCTCAAAATAGTAAGTTACGATGAATTCAGTATCATTCCACAATGTATCCATTTAAAAAGAACAACCTAACAGAAAAAACCCTGTCACAATACTGTAGCAGTTTTACTTCCCCCAGTAGCTTTTATAGATCACAAAGTAGTACAGCAGCGCTCTCATGCAGCCTGTGAAGGGGAAGGTAACCACCAAAATCTCTAGGTATGCTTTGTAAACTCAAGAACAAAATTTTCAGTATTTCTATTTTACCTTTCACCGAGGTAATCTCCAATTACCGTTTTATTTAATCCTTCTCCTTTATAAAGGAACTGTGCAATGTCTTCTGCAGTGTTCTGCAGGAGGTCATTTTCTATCAGAAACTGTATTCCCTAGGAAGAGCAATTCCAGAGGAAAAGGAATGTTATGTTTTCTTCTACAAGCATTTGTGTAAATACCACTCAGAGCATGTTATTAATATATTGACACAGACATATATATAGCACATTAAGAATTACATCAGCCTACAGACTTTTTTAATGAAATGGTAAATGTTTTTCAGTTAAGATAAGCAGTTAGGTAAGTACTCATTTTAAAAAGGCTAGAAGTACTAGGTGGCAGTTTGAATCCCTCAACAATAGAAATAGTAAACATTAACTACATAATGATTCCACATTGCTCTTCGGAGTTATTGCTTGAGTTGTCCTGTTCATAATATTGCATAAATGCCTCATAGCAATTACCTAATTACCACCATGACACAAAATAAAGCATCTGTTATAATCTACAAACTGCAACCCAATACATCAAGCCATTTCTTGCAGTAGAAGTTGCGGTCGAAGATACTAAAAACAGTTTAAAACAGTTTATCAGTTTGTCAGCGACTTCTGGTTGTGCTGGAACTAAACTATTCACAGAGGACTTGAACTAGACTATTCACAAACCAGTCAAGTTTCTACCATGGAGCGTCTACCAAAGCCAGGAGGAGAATCTTACCCTGTCCTCAGTGGGTACTTGATCAAGCCCCTGGACTCTTATGCCTCCATAAATTACTGGCCCTATAACTGGTACATTCTAGGGATGCCCAGAGAACTGCAAAGTGGTAAAGAAAGGAGACTAGAAGTTACATAAAGATTACATAAAGGATGGAAGGGATGTTATTGCAACACTCAGCAGGTCATAAAGACACAGTGCTCTTTGCTTCCCCACCACACACCCCAAAAAAGCTATTCCTGCGTGCTTCTTGAAACTGTTAATGACATGCTAGTGAAAAGTAGAAATAGCATCTATAAGTAATCTTAATGCCTTGGATTCCAAATATGTACAGAAGAGCTGAGCAAATTGTTCCAAATATTTTCTACTAGAATATTTCATAATTTCAGAAATACTAGAAGTTTCCCAATTTCTGCAAATCGAATAGATTTATCTCATTACAACTGGGAAAACTCCCATTACTTTTTGATATAGCACAGGAGACCTTGCAGTAACATTCAAAAAAGTAATTATCCTTCTATTTGGTTGATTCTGGGTTTTTTATAATGGAATTATTACCTGCCTGAGAAAATAAAGTCAATTTGCTGACCTAATTTAACAAAGAAAACGCACTGTGATGTTACAAGGCTCAAAGCTTTTAAGGAAAAAAAAAATAAGCTGGAACACAATTTTCTCACAATAATTTTATCACCATCTGAAAACTTGATTTCAGTGACAGGCCAGTACTCTGACAACTTAGTATTTTGATAAAGTCATTTCAGAACAGACATGATTTCGTTTCAAAGAGTACATCCATTTTATCTTGAAGCAAAAATACCCGAGCTTCCCTCAGAAATGACCCCTTCAAAGCTTATTTGATAACTAAATATTTGTACAGTAAAATCATCTGACTATGAAACATTATATTTTTTACCACACCAAATTATTCATTAAGCTCTCAGCTCTGTCACCAACAGAGAAACTTCCTTAACAAATACTAGAAATGGCAGCTGCAGATTCCCACTTTCAACACCTAGAGCATATTATTAATGCTTAGATTGACTAAAGTAGTTTTAAAAATGTTGTACAAGTTACTGGAATGGATATGACTAGAAGCATGAAAAATAAAAATTCTGTGCACAGAAGCACTTTAACATACTATCCTCCCCAAGAAATTAAAAAAAAAAACCAACAAAAAAATCAACATAATCTTCCATTTTCTGGATTTTATTTTTTTTTTAATTCTCAAGATGTTAAAGAACTAGAAGTCAAATAGACAGGGAAAGGAATCTGTCTGGGAGAACAACTCCAGCGTCTGGAATAAATGGTAAAATAGGCCAGCCAAACCCCCATCAACTCCTACGCTTTCGCCTTGATGCAGATTTTCTTTCTGTAGACAGACAGGAGACTGAAGACAGCTGCACTAGTTCGATCTCCCCACACAAAATTGATGGCTACAGAAATACTCAACATTCACCACAAATATTACATTGCTTTTTCAAAGGCAGATTTCAATTAAATCTGCTTTGAATTTTATAGGTTTTACAGTAACTTGATTGCAAATTTTGGAGTTATTTAAACCCTACTTTTGTCACAGGGATTCCAGTTTCTGGGCCCAACGCAGGAAGCACTGATTTCCAGTGCTGCGAATTTCAAGCACAGCTTTATGTCCTCTGTGCAGGGATTCCTGAAATGTTTTACAAACTTTACCATTACAGCCCTTCCTGCACTTGGCTAACCAAATTCAAACAGCAAGGTATGTGATATTACATCACATAACTGTATTAAGCACAGCAATGTCGACTGAGGGTCTTCTGGGTGTGGGGAAGAGGGAGAATTTCTCTACTTACACACCAGAACACGTAAAGGTCCTCAAATAAAAGTGGTAAAAGAAAATTGCCTCACTATGCTCCTGCTAATTGAAAACATTGGACCTCTGTTGTTTGGTTTTAAAGACAACTTGGAGGATTCAGTGCATGTATTATTACCCCAGTTCTTTCACATTCGTAACTCTGGAGACCATCTTCCCTTCCTTTATGAATGAAAAACACCCTTTTCACAATGACCCCAAGTTAATTCTCTCAATACTACAAGGACATACATTTTGGCTGCCTGTAATTTAAAGGAGCAGCTGCAAACAAGATGATCTAGCTTTACAGCAGCCAGCTACTGCAGGCCACCACTGATTCACAGACATTATTAAGTCGTAGACTTACTACTGTAAGTTTACTACATTTAGATTATGTTACAGTAGTAATGTGGCCACAGCATCTATTTATAGAAATAATTTCACCCAGCAAGCACAGTAACAAAAATAGTTTACACTGGAATGAAAGCATCTGACATCATCCTGTGACTTTGTCACAAACTTCTAGGACATGAAAGAGCTGGAGAACAACAGCAAACTATCAGTATATTTGGGGGTATTCTGCCCTCAACAGAATAGAAGTTAGACAGTCACCAAATGGAAAAGAAAAACACAAGACATGGTCAGTAGCTTGAAAAACAGTTTCATATCTCAAAGAACTTGAGTGTTTCTGGTAAATTGAAAACAGCCTGAAAAATAGCAGCCATCCCTGTACAGAACATTACAGAAAAGCCACCAAAATGTAAATGAATTCAATACAATTTGGAAGAAAGCATGTCAAGAACTAACACAGAAAAACAAATGCTAAACAATTTCCAAGACCTCAAAGAAGCCTCTTCACAAATTCAAAATGGAATCTTAACCACAAACAAAACAAAACAGTAAAACAAAACAAGGAAAATGTAAAATGAAAAGTAAAGACAAGGCTAAAGGTCAGGTATATCAAAGCACCTCTTTTAAATCTATCAGGAGAGGTCTGTAAGAGAATGTCCCTGAATTTTCCTGAAAATTAACAACTATTTATGAAAAGTAGGGGTACTCCAGAGAAATTAACTATTTCTTGGCTAAATGCACAGCAGACTTCTTCAAACTGGTAACCAAATTTCTACCTGCAGGTGTTTGTACAAGTCATATAGGTACGCCTATGTATTTATAGAAACAGATATTCATACATGCCTTTTCCACAAACAGAATTCAGATATGCAAATATAAAAGCCTGGATGAGAACAAATTAAAAAACCTGTGAAAGGTATTCTGGAAGAAAAAGAAAAAAAAAGAGGGCATAAAAAATAAAAAAAAAAAGTGTGGCCTCACCAATAGCCAAACGTCAAAATACCTTTAGAATGATATTTGACATATCAATATAGAACACCTCTATCAGGTGCTAGTAATCTTTCTGCAAGCCAGCTCAATCAATACTGGCATATTTGATTGTTGATAAATGGTCTCCATTTTCAAAAAAGGTTTACTTAAGTGAAAAAAAGCACACAACTGGCAAATGACTAGATGACTGCTTCTAATTTAACCCTCTGCTCAGTGTGTTACAGGATATACAAGTAAGGCCTATGAACTTACATTAGCAGAAACGTTTTCTCAAGAAAACTCTATTTATTATAGATCGTATTACAAGCAGGAACTTGATTCCCGAAAAATAAAAAAAACCCCAAACCCCAAAACCAAAACCACCAAAAAAACCCCACAAAACAAAACAAAACACCTCCACAAAACCACAACAAAACAAACAAAACCAAACCCAAACCAAACATTCTCTACCTTCTTAGGGTCCATGTTAAATTTCTTCCTTCCCATGGCTATTTGCTTATTTCTTTGAGCAGTTTTGCTACACATGGAGAAAAAGAAGAAACAATAAGCAGTTATCAGTTGCTCTTTTACAAAAAAAAAAAACAACTTTTGGGTGAGCTTATTTGAACTGTATTTTGGTTACCTTGTATTTTCTATTACAAACGGGAGACATTCACGTTTTATAAAGCAGAAAATTATGTTGCTATTTTCAATTCCTTCAAGTAATTGCAACTTGAGAGAACTGTATGATTATCAATCAGAAATATTTCATGTTCTATCCAACATATTCTCTATCCAAATGAATGGCACACCCAAACAGGATAAAGTCAGGCTTTAGAGACTTTATAGCAGACCGAATAAAGGTGATCCAATGTTTACTTAGTGTGACAAAGCTATTTTCTTTTGCAATTCCTGGAAGACCTGTTCCAAGGTTTTCCTGAATCATGTCCATGTTACCATTACTTACCTTTCTTCTACACTAGTCAGATTATCAATTTCTGTCATAACCTCAGCAATTTCAAATTTTAATCTCTGTCAAAAGAAGGAAGAACAATATGTTAATCTACATTAAGACACTCTTTGAAATCATCTATCTTACATTAATATGATCAATTAGGTTTTATTTTCTAATAATTGCCAGTCACCTGAAGAAAAGTGATGAATTTTGTGGCTTCCTTAGATATTTAGCTTAGAGATTTTACCACAACTGATTTGGCTGTTAAACATGGATCTGAACTCCCAGTGTGTGCTCATGGCTGAGCATTGAGAACAAATCAATTTCAGTGTAAGATTTCTTTATGCAGATTTTTCACTTACTTATACCCTGTATGCAAATCTGCTTTTTCTCAACTACAGTTCTTGACTACATAGATCAATTGTATACAGATGATACATACTACATTAAATACAAAAGTTATCTTTTTCAAAAGCACACAAATGATGCATAAATCCTATACATTGATAGAATTTAGCTTAAGCCATTTATATGCTTTTAAAACCATCATCTGGAATTCATACCTAGGTATGTAGTTTACTGTAACTTAACCTACTGAAGCAGCCCTATAGGGATCTTTACAGATAAATCAATTACCTCAATATCATCAATCAATTCTTTTTTCCTGCGACGAATATTTAAAAGCTCTTCTCTTTCTTCTATGGAGAGGTCATCAGGCACTGGAATAAAGCAAAATGTAGAGTCTTTTAGCATTTGCAAATATGAGAGATGATCCCACATGAAAACAGAACAAATGATTTCTGCACAGTCCTCATTTCCAAACCACCTCTGTTCTGGAAAGTTTTCGCCAAACTTGCAGTGCTACACAGGCATTCATCTCTCAGTACACTTCAGACTTAAAACTTCTTTGTTCTTTGCAGCAGGTTAAAACGTAAACAGGGGAAGTTTAGACTGGATATAAGGAAGAAATTCTTTACTGTAAGGGTGGTGAGGCATTGGAATGGGTTGCCCAGGGAAGTTGTGAATGCTCCATCCCTGGCAGTGTATAAGGCCAGGCTGGACAGAGCCTTGAGTGCCATGGCTTAGTGGGAGGTGTCCCTGCCAACGGCAGGGGGGTTGGAACTAGATGATCTTAAGTTCCTCTCCAACCCTAACTATTCCAAATATACGTCATCACAGAAGACTGAATAAACCCAATTAAGAAAAGTAAGTTTACATGAAACATCAGGGCATGTGGGTTTGGTGGTTTTTTTAAGCTGTGATCATTTTCAGGGTGGATGGAGGGGGAAAACCACACACAAACAAAAATAAAGAAAAAAACAACAACAAAAAACAACAAAAACTCAACAAAAAAAAACAAACAAAAAAACCCACCCAAACCAACCAACCAACCAAACAAAAAAAAACAAACACCTACACCAACAACCCTAATTTATTGGAATTCTACTTTATAAAATCCTAAGTAAGGTAACTGAACGAATGACTATGGACAGAATCTATCGTTAAAATGGCACAAAGGAAACTGTGGGAAAATTTGTCTCTACACCTTAATTGTTATATTCAAGTCTGATTCATTCCAATTATCTCTATAACAAACCAAAATTTATGTAAATTAAATGATTCAAAAGACATGATTAACTTTCATGGTCAAAAGCTAAAGAATAGCTAAAGCTCTATACAAGAGGTGTATCCTGGTGCTGACTTCAGACAACATCATAATTTTAGCAGTACCCCTTCATTTGCTGGCTTTGAAGGGCAGAGAAGCAGGTAAGTACAATACTACTAACATTCTTAACAGTAAATCCTTTCCACCCGTAGGATATACATATAAACACACAGAATCAATCATTTAATACAGTGCTTCTTAAACTTGTGGTTTTTGTTTAACATTGTTTAAGTCAGTCTGAAGTATTTAAGTCCATTTTAGGTCTCTCCTTGGATGCGCTAAAACAAATGTTATATAAATGCTGATGAAAATTTATTGCTACTGAAGGTGCAAACACATTTCTCTACACCCCTATGGCCATCACTCACTCTAGCATCAGCCCTTTATCCTGCAGGCTCTGCCTGACAACCAGCAAATGTGAAAAGTTATTTACACAAACCCTCTGCTTTTCTTGAGCCATTAGGCTTTCCCTAACAAGAAATTTCTTTGGACAGAGATTACGCCTGCTCACTTGTACAGCAGTAGATATTACCCGCAAATATTCACCTCCTTTGCGATGATCCTATAACAGCAGTTTTAACACTACCCACTTTTGGTGGAAATAGCTACTTAATTATAGATCAGCGTCTCCTTTTTTCCCTCAGTAAGATGGAATGACAAAAATAATTATTAAGATATTTAAGGAGCTCTGTCCCAGCAGCAACACACAACAAATACTGTCACTTGGGATGGCTAAAGCTGTTTCTGTCATACACATCACAGACTGTAGCAACAGGATCACTAGCAAAGGTTTGGCTTGATAGAAGATTTTTAAAGCCACATTTGAAACACAGTCTTTGTTCAAATGTTAATAATGAAATATATTGGTTATTTTCAATATCCAGTGGTTAAGCTCCTTTCCTTTCATGATTCAAATCATAACATAAAATCCAAATGGCAACATGCCTTGTTAGACATGAAGTAATTATGGCAAATGATCTCATTTAACTACTCCAGATACAAACATGATTAAATTACTTCCAGTTTAGGAAATAATAGTCTTCTGTTGAACAAATACCAGGTTTCAATATGTTTACATTCTTTTTCTCTTCATCTCATCAGAAATCCACCCAATCCACCCTTTCCTAAAAAGTTCTTTGATGCAAATACTGGTAAGATTCTTTTCACGTCAAACCTTATAAACACACATGCCTACATCACATCTTTGTCTACGTGTATACTTTAAGACTTTAAAACTCAGGAATTTTTTTTTACTACATGAACACTATGTACATACACAGACCACAAATACTCCAACTAATTAACTAAGGACTGACTAAAACAAAAAATTACTGCTGTTATCCAATGTTGATTATTAAAAAGGCAAACTGTGTATAATCAGTCACTCTCTTAGCTGGGAAGTATGCTGAAGTGTACTTAAAAGCATTTCTGAAGTCTTACTTCAGTAGATGAAATTAGATTAAAATTTTGCAGTCCTAGCATTAGTAAAAGCTTTTAATTTTTCAACTTTTTGCCACAGCAGATGTTCTGGTGACTTTCACCTTTGCTGGCAGCTGGAAATACTAATCAGAACCCAAACAGAAAATAATCTTTAAGGATTAAAGAGAATTAACAGGCGGTACTTGATTTTTCTTCAAGCTGAGGTATCAAATCTCTGGATTAGCTGCTATCACAAATCCTTGACACTCAGAACACGTTTGGAATATCTAGAACAAGTGAAATTGCTGTCACAATTCATGTTGATTTCATACAGTTTTCTATGCTCAGGCAGCCCACCAAAGAAAAGAAACCAAACACCTCAATCCTTTCCCTCCAGCACCCAAAGACTATCTGTTGTGGTTTTTTCCTTTGCTCTGATCACAGCCACAGCAGAGACACAACCCTCACAGTATAATTAATGATGCTGTTAGACAAGAAGGAAATAAACTAAATGGAGTCAGACTGCCTTTTGCATTAGGAAATAACATCAAGTATTTATCTGCCAGATGCAAGACAAGGAAAGTCTGCTGGAAAAGAAAGTTCTGCACTTGGAGAGCACTTAGAAGACAGTATTAAAGACAAAACTGCATAACAATGCAACATCTTTAAATAATGGTACTAATGCCTGGTATCCCTGATAAGAATAAAAGAACCAGGATGCAACTGAGTAGGGGTTACAATACTGTTCAGCTTCCAGAAACTACTGATATACTCAATATTTTACTTTCACTCACACTCCCAGCACAGAGAAGGGATGACTGACTTGACAGGATGATTCCTAAGTGCATCATGCTATCCTCACCATAAACTGGCATGTGTGCAAGACCCTGAAGATGTCTGCCTTATTCTCATCCCTCTATTGGTTGTGCTTCACCACTCCCTTCTTCAGTGCTGCTGTTCATGCTAGTGAGAAATCATCAGTGGAAAAATGAATTCACCAGGAAAAAAAATGGTTCTTAAACAGATTGTATGTGGCATTACAGCAACTTCAGAGACTGAACTTCTGAACTTCTCCAGGAGGCTACATGACTTTGTCTATTGTCCCTGTTTTGATTCTCTGCCTTAAACCAAAATTTAACAATATTTGTCTATTTCAATAAAGGTTTTTGAAATAGTAATATTGGAGGATGTGCCTACCTTAAGTGAAAGAAAGAGTGGCAGATACTCAACTGCAGCTAAAACCAAACAAATACAAAACAACCCCCACACTAACACAAAAGGGCACCCAACATTAATTAAATCTTTTCCTTACAACTAAGAAGTGAGGATCTACTCTTTCTCATGTCAACTGTTCTTTGCTTTTTATTGGTCCCTAATGAAAATCTATAAAATATAAAAAAAAAAAAAAACTACAGTCCACTTCTAAATAGATAAAACGTTTCCTCAGTGACAGGCTCAAATAGCAATCAGTTCTTCTGACTTGAGCATGAGATATCTTATGCAACCTGCAACACAGGGACCACAATGAGAGCCTGAGAATAATTTTCTTTAGAAAGCAAACCTGTAAAGCTGTGGTACCCAGGTGTTCTTAGAAAACGGAATAAGCACTTTTAATAGCTACAGTCTGAAAGAAAAATACTCATTTTATTGAATCAAAAAATTGAAAACCACAGTTAAGATGTTTTGTGTCAAAGCTGATATTAGAGTCATGGCAAGCAAATGGGAGATGGAAAATGGCCAATGAATAACAACAGCACATTAAAACATCTTTACAGTCCTAAGCAAATACAGCAGATACATGACAAGTGATGCCCTGCCCTGGCAGGGCACCTTCCATAAGCCACCTTTATGACCTCAGCAGCTTGAACACTTCTGCTTTTTCTAACCTTGTGTTCATGTAATCCCCCATGCAGAAGAGCTCATAGAACATGTATGTCGTGTTTGTGTTGCAAGACAAATTTTCTAGGTATCCTCTCTGAGTCATTTCAAGTTTTTTTGTCTTCCACCAATCTAAACACAAAGTAGACAGGATGGGAGAAGTTAACATGAACATTTAAATACTGAAAAAGAACAAGAGCAATTCAGTATAGTGAACAAACTGCAGCTGCAGTATGCTTTCATGCTATCTTCTAATCTTTAAATAAAGACAATGTTCTAATCTAACTCACTTGTGTGAAAACCGTTGAGTTTACAGGGAGTGTGTTTCCTTTCCCTAAAACTTCAGAGTTTTAGCTGCTACTAAATTGAAAGTCAATATACCTAATGATATTTTATTTAAGAGGAACAAAGTTGTTGAAAATACAAATTATATTCTTGGCCAAGCAGTGTTGCTACTCCTCCTCCTCCTCCCAACAGAAAAAAAAAACCCAAAGGAAAAAAAAATTAATACATACCAACTTGGCCTATCTCTCTTCAATTACTGTAACTGACCTAGACATAAATGAATTTCCTGTAAACTAATACTTTCCATGCAGGTTTGTTTACTCCAAATGAGTTAGAAAAAAAACCAACCAAAACCCAACTGTAGCTTGCCACAGAAATCAGTGTACTGCCCTGCAGTTGTGATGTCCCTTTAAACAATTAAACATGTTAAACAATTTTCCACTGCTGACAACCCAAGTACAGTATCCAAAC